AAACCTCTTTTGAAAATATCCTTTTCCAACAGTCAAGCAAATGAATGCGTAATCAGATAGTGCAAGTCCGCACATAAGTCAGCCCCTCGGGCACATCACTCCACTAACAATTAACACCAGGGCGTCTGGTAAACAGTGCAAGAAGTAGCATGAATGCCAATGAAATAAGAGTGCTGAATGTCATGACACGTATTACAAACAGGAACCAATGCATGAATGCAATGCAATGCATATGACCGCTGCGGCGCGCAGCCCGATCCATTTGGGTACCCGCGCTCACTGTGGGGGTTCAGACTCTGGAGGGGCTCCTACAGCCCAAGCGCAATATCAATATCACACCGCTGCGGCGTGCATCCCGATCCATCCTCAGTCCAGAAATGCACATAGGCCCCTTGGGCAATAGTAAAATAACAGTCTCAACTCAAAACGTCAGTAAAATATCATTTAGGTTTTCAAATCTTAGAAACAAAGCTGAGTTTGCGAAACAGTATTTTAAACCTTGGACTGTGATAAAATAATATGCAAAGTAATGCAAAAACAGTGATATCAATCCCTGAAGGATTCAAACAATTGGCACGAAGCCCAAATATAGCAATCAAACCAAATAATGATGATAACAAGTAGTTTCAGTCAATTACGCAATAAAACCAACAACAGGGACGGACTAAGTCACAATCCCCAACGGTGCTCTACCCCACGCTCATACCTGGCGTGCAAGTCACCACAATACAACACTATGATGTGCAAATCCGGGGTTTCAAACCCTCAGGATATCATTTACAAGTATTACTCACCTCAGACCGGTGAAATCCCTAGCTCGCGGCGCCTTTGCCCCTCAATCGGCCTCCACGCACGTCGAATCTAACCAAACCAGAGCGAATACATCACAATATGCTAAGGGAACAATACCCAATCGAAAACAATCAAAAATTAGCAAGAATCTCGAAACTAGCAAAACCCGAGCCTCGGGCCCACTTCTCGAAAAATTACAAAACTCACATTACCGGATTCCTCGTCTCGCCACAAGTTCATACATACCAAGAACTCCCAAATCCGAGCTTAAATGACCTATCAAATTCCAATTTAAAATATCAAAAACTCAAGCCCTAGCTTTACCCCTTTTGAAGAATTTCAACCAATTTCCATGTTAAATCTATCAAAGTTCCATGTATTTAGGCCAAGGGACTTACCTCCAATCACACCTAGTCGAAACCCCCCTTTAATTCCGTCCAATAGCTCCCAAGCTCACTTAAAAATGGTGGAAATAACATAACCCTCGCGGAACAAAATGAATATAAAACTCCTACTGGCTTCAGGGGTTTCCGCTTCTGCGGTCCCCACGCCCGCTTCCGCGCAACCGCTTCTGCGATTTTTGTCCGCTTATGCGGAATTTCATTAAACTCGAGGGCCGCTTCTGCGACACAAATTTCCGCTTCTGCGGAAGCTCACCTCCTGGCCAAACCCGCTTCTGCGACCGCCTGTCCGCTTCTACGGACTCGCTTAAGCGAAAAGTGTTCCGCTTCTGCGGAACTGCCCAACTCCACTCCAGACCGCTTTTGGGACCAAGATTACGCTTCTGCGGAACCGCTTATGCGGTCCATTTCCGCAGAAGCGAACATACCAGATACCAGCAAAAATCTGCCATTTCCTCAACTTGAATTTCATCCCGATAGCCATCCGAAATCACCCCGAGGCCCCCGGGACCTCAACCAAAAGCACCAACATGTCTTAAAACATCATACGAACTTGCTCCAATCATCAAAACACACCTAACAACACTAAAATCATCAATTCACATCGGATTCAAGCCTAAGTTCTTCAAGAATTTCCGAAATGCACTTTCGATCAAAAACCCGACCAAACGGCGTCCGAATGACTTGAAATTTTGCACACATATCACAAATCACATATCGAAGCTACAGCAACTCTCGAAATTCCATTCCGACCCTCGGATCAAAATCTCACCTATCAACCGGAATCCGCCAAAATACTAACTTCGTCAATTCAAGCCTAATTCTACACCGGGCCTCCAAAATCAATTCCGATCGCACTCCCAAGTCACAAATCATCTCCCGAAGCTAACAGGATCATCGGAAATTACATCTGAACCTTCGAACTCATAAGTCAACGTCCGGTTGACTTTTTCAACTTAAGCCTTTCCTTAAAGAGACTAAGTGTCTCATTTCCTATTCAAACCAATCCGAATCAACTCTAACTCACCACATACCGGTAATGAAACATGAAGAAGCATAAAATGGGAAAAACGGGGCGGTAATCCATGGGACGACGGGTCGGGTCGTTACAACACACTTGAAAAAGGAAAGCAACAAATAAGGAAACCGAAGATGGGCTGGAGAGTAAAAGTGAATCAACAGCCTGAAAAGCCAGCCACAAATGCTGAACAACAAGCTGATCCAAAATTGCCAAAAGAAGTAGAAGTACTAACTGATGACCAGAATGAAAAAGAACAGCATAAGAGTCTGGAATTCCAGGTACAACAGGCCAAGAGCTGGGGCAAGAAAAAATTAGCTATTACTCATGAACAAGAAGGACAAAATCAGCTGTGTTAAGACAGTGAAAAGATTGAGAGGTTGCTGAGGCAGAATCAGTTTAGTGCTTTGAGAATTCTACCAATGATAGTCACTTCAACAGTGATAAGGGAACAGAGTCCTTCGAGGAAGATAGCTCCATGATATTCTGCTCATGGAACATAAAGGGGCTAAATAAGCCCTTTAAGCAGAAGGAACTCAAGACCTTCCTGCTTACAAATAAGGTAGTTTTGATAGGTTGTCTTGAGACTAAAGTTAAAGCTAACAAAGCTGAAAAAGTGAAGAAGAAAATGGGGAATGATTGGGAAATAGATACTGATTACAATCAAAGCCCAAATGGTAGAATATGGATTGGTTGGAAGCCTCAACAAGTGGAAGTGCAAATAGTAGCATTTATGCCTCTGTGCACTGCATAGTAAAGGACAAGGGCTCAACTTTTACTAGCCAGATAACATTTGTTTATGGCTTGAATACCATAAACGAAAGGAAGGCCTTATGGCAAGGGCTAAGGAATTTGAATAATAATATAGCTGATCCATGGATTGTACTAGGGGATTTTAATGTTGTTCTTTTAGTGAATGATAGACAAAATGGTATTCCAGTACATCCAAATGAAGTTAAGGATTTCCAGGAGTGTATTGAAGACATAGGGCTTGGTCAACTAAAAAGAACAGGGAGTTTATTTTCATGGAGTAATAAGAGAGATGCACCTGTTAGAATCCACAGCTTTATAGATTGGGCCTTTGGAAATTCAAAATTGTTTGATAATTATGGACACTTGGAAGCAGTTTATCTTAGCCCAGAATGCTCCGATCACTCTCCTATTATTGTCAACACTGGGAGAATAAGACAAAACCTTCCTAGGCCATTTAGACTACTCAACATTCTTCTTCAGAATGAGGAATTTAAGGCAATGATTAAAACTACATGGAAATATGAAGTTCCTGGGTACACTATGTATGGTACATGCAAAAAGCTCAAACTTATTGAGCTAAACACAAGACACATTCAGAAAGAGGTATCAAATGTGGAAAGGAAGGTTGAAGTCACTCGAGGGAGGTTGCAAGACACTCAACAACTGCTGAACTCTGATCTCTACAACCCAAATCTGATCCAAAAGGAGAGATAACAGATCCTTGAACTAGAGAAATGGTCTAACATACATGAAGAGGTGCTAAGGCAGAAGTCTAGGGCTGTATGGTTAGCAAAGGGAGACTCAAATACAAGATATTTCCATGCACAAATGAAGACTAGACAAGCAAGGAACCATATCTCCTCAATATGTAATGATCATAGGATTATGCTGACTGATCCAGGCCAAGTTCAGAGTGAGTTTATTAATTTTTTCCAAGAACTGCTGGGCACTAAAGCTGCAGAACTACCTTGTTTGAACAACAACATTGCAAAAGATGGATATTGTCTCAATAAGGAGGAGCAGAAGGGACTGATAAAACCAGTGACTAAGGAAGAAATTCTACAAGCTCTGAATGATCTACCAGCTGACAAAGCCCCTGGGGGTGATGGCTTTCCTGTGGAATTTTCAAAGCTAACTGAGATGTAGTGGGAGATGATGTTATAACAGCTATTCTTCAGTTCTTTGAGAAGGGGAAAATACTTAAGTAGATAAACATTACAACCATTACATTGGTGCCAAAAGTCCCAAATCCTACTCATGTCAAGGAGTTCAGGCCTATTGCATGTTGTACAACTCTGTACAAACTGATAGCCAAGGTGATCACTAGCAAACTTAAGCAAGTAGTAGACAAAATTGTTGGGCCAGCACAATCAGCTTTTATTGAAGGTAGGAATATCTTAGATAATGTGATTGTGGCACATGAGCTAGTCAAAGGTTACAATAGAAAAGGAATGTCTCCTAGATGTCTAGTGAAAGTAGATATCAGGAAAGCTTATGATACTGTTGAGTGGGACTTTTTGAGAATGGTCTTATTAGAGTTTGGAATTCCAGCCAAGTTTTTCAAACTCATCATGGAGTGTGTTTCGACTGTGAGCTACTTTATTATTTTCAATGGAGGACTCACCCCTAAATTCCAAGCAAAGAAAGGTCTACGTCAAGGAGATCCTATGTCACCACTCTTATTTGTCTTGACAATGGAGTATCTGAACAGATCCCTGAAACAGCTGAACCAAAATCCCAACTTCAATCACCACCCAAGATGCAAGAAGATGAAACTAACCCATATTTGTTTTGCAGATGACTTAATAATGTGCTGCAGGGCTGAGAGATTATCTATTCAGTTGATGATGAAGGCATTTGAACACTTCTCTGTAGTCTCAGTCCTCAAAGCAAATATGGAAAAAAGTTCTCTATATATAACAGGGGTGGATCAACAGTTGCAGAACCAAATCTATGATGAAATGCACTTTGCAATGGGAGAGATTCCTTTCAAATACCTCGGTGTCCCCTTATCTTAAAAAAAAAACAGTTCAACAATGTATGCCTCTGGTGGAAAGAATGATTGCAAGGATCAAATGTTGGACTACCAAATTTCTGTCATATAGTGGCAGAGTGTAGCTTATTAAGAGTGTACTGTTTGAGATCCAAACATATTGGTCGCAGATTTTCCTGATACCAAAGAAGGTGCTGCAGTTAATAACAAGTGCCTGTAGAACATTCTTGTGGACTGGACAATGTGCAACGTCAAGAAGAGCACTTGTCGCATGGGAGAGATTATGTATGCCAAAATCAGCAGGGGGCTTGAACATAATCGAATTTCAAACATGGAATAAAGCAGCCATATCAAAATTGCTTTGGGCTATCACAGCAAAGAAAGATACCCTCTGGGTTCAATGGATCCACAGTTTCTATATTAAGGGTAGAAGCATCAGTACTATGGAGACACCTAAGCAAGCATGTTGGCTTGTTAGGAAAATCTTTGATGCAAGGAAATGGTATGGGAGCAATGATTTGTGTGGAGAATTACAACAACGCACTCATGCTGGGAAGTTCATGATCAAGAAGGCATATAAATACTTACTTCCTCAATATCCTAGAGCTATATGGAAAAACCTCAACATGATCCCATGTTCTGTACCAAGGTATCAATTTATACTTTGGCTTGCACTTTAAAAGAGACTCAGTACAGCAGACAGAATGGCTAAATGGGGAATACAAGTTCCTATGAACTATGTATTATGCAGAGCTGATGTTGAAGAAACTCATACTCATTTGTTCTTCGAATGTGATTATTCCAGACAGATGTGGAGCTCCTTCTTACGTTGGACAGGAGAAAGCAAGCAAGCAGGGACCTGGGAGGAGGAGATTGCGAGACTAACGACCAAACAATGCAACAGCAAAGCTCATGCAGAGGTACTAGGATGGCTATTAGCTGCTACTGTTTATTATGTCAGGAGTGAACGCAATGCTAGAAGATTTCAAGAACAGTAGCAGGAATGTATCTCAAGACTAAGAGAGATTACCATTCAATTGCATAGGAAAGGACAGTTTAGAAACAATTGGAAAAGATTACTGTAACGACCCGACCGGTCATTTTGAGCCCTAGCACGTCGTTCAGCAGTCTGAGGCCATGAGCAGCTTCATTTCAGGTATTATGACTTGTACGCATGGTCGGAATTAAATTCCGGGAAGTTCGGAGTTGATTTGGAAAGAGAATTCTCATTTCGGAAGCTTAAAGTTGAAGGAATCAACTAGGATTGGAATTTTGAGTAAACGACCTCCGAATCGGGATCTGAAGATTCCAGCAGGTTCGTATGATGATTTTGGACTTAAGCGTATGCCCGGATCGGGTTTTGGATGACCCGGGAGCGTTTTGGTACCTATTGTGGAAGTTGGCATTTGGAAGAAATTTCATAAGTTTTGCTTGAAGTGCATTTCAATGTTACCGATGTCCGTTTGGGATTCCGAGACTGGGAGTAGCTCCGCATGGTGATTCTGAAGTTGGGAGCCCGATCGGGAGTGAATTCGGAGGTCCGTAGGTCATCTTGGAGCTAATTGGCTAAAAATAGATGAAGGTTTTTGAGAAGTTTGACCGGAAGTAGACTTTTTGATATCAGGGTCGGAATGCGATTCCGGAAGTTGGAGCAGGTCCGTAATGTCGAATATGACTTGCCTGCAAAATTTGGGGTCAATCGAATGAGATTTGATAGGTTTCGACATCGGATGTGAAAGTTAGAAATTTCAAAGTTCATAAAGATGAATTTTGGCGCGATTCGTGATTTCGACATTGTTTGATGTTATTTGAAGCCTCGAGTAACTCCGTTATATGTTTCCAGATTTGTTGGCACGTTCGGACGGGGTCCCGAGGGGCTCGGGTGAGTTTCGGGGTGGTTTCGGACCATTTCTAGGCCATTTATAACTGCTGGTTTTTGGCTACAACAGTGTTCTATGCGATCGCGGGGAATTGGTCGCGATCGCGTTGAGTAAAATGTGAGAAATAGGCCAGTGAATCGCGATCGCGGAAAGCCTTTCGCGATCGCGTAGAGTAAATATTCTGCTGCACTGACTCGACTTCGGAGGCTCATATCTCACAATCTATAAGGAATTTTGAGATGATGTAAAAATAAAAGTTGTATCCCTTTGTGTCTAGTTTCTAGAAAAGTAAACCATTCATGATTTGGATTTGTGTACAAAGAGATATAGCTGTTACACTACAGGGTATCTGGGAAGATGAAAAAGAAAGTTGTGTTACACATGGGCTGACTTTGACAGATTATATCTAGAAATATATAAGAAATTGGGAAATGATCAACACATGAAAGTTGTATATCTTTGAATCTAGTTTTCAGAACATTTAACCATTTGTCATTTGGAGTTATGTGCAAAGAGTTATGACTATTCTACTAGAGGCTGTCCGGAAGGCTGGGAAATTGTTCTCCGCGATCGCGAAGCTCTTTCCGCGATCGCGCAGAGTAAATTTTGGGTTGGAAAAATTGTTCTCCGCAATCGCGAAGCATTTTCCGCGATCGCGCTGAGTAAATACCTGGGCAGAATGATATTTTAGCGGGTTTAGCTCATTTTTCTTCATTTCTTCAAAGCATGGACGATTTTTGGAGAGCTTCAAGAAGGGATTTCGTCATCTATGTTAAGGTAAGTTACTCCTACTCATTTCCAAGTTAAATACAAGATTATATCATGGAATTAGACATGAAAATTGTGGGAAAATTGGGATTTTTGGAAGAAAACCTAGAAACTTGATAAATTGGATTTTACCAGGAATTTGAGCATGGAATTAGGAGTAAATTATATATTTGAGCTAGTGAAGCTATGGGTAGAGTATATCTTCGAGAAATTTCGGAATTCGGGCACATGGGCCCGAGGGCATTTTGGTCATTTCACTAAGCGGAGTTGGGAATTTGTATAATTTGAATTGTTAACAAGTATTTGAGTATATTCTCATTAGTTTGCCGTTATTTGGCTAGTTTCGGAGCATTTTGCAACGATTCGAATCGTCGGGAAGGCTTGGAGGCCGTTTATGGAATTTCGGAGCGAGGTGAGTCTCCTTTCTAACCTTGTAAGAGGGAATTGTCCCCATAGGTGAAATATTTGATTATGTGCTCCTATTTGTGGGGGCTACGTACGTACGAGGTGATGAGAGTCCGTGCGTAGCTACTATTATGCTATTGTCCGGGTAGTTAGGACCCAAAAGCATGCTATACTTGGATTAATTGTAAGCTCATTGATAGCTTGGATTGCTTAGATCGCATTGAATTAGTAAATGAATTCCAAAAAGGATTAAACTTTAATCTCTTAAATTGTTAAAAAGAGGACCGACTTTTAATTGGACAAATGCTCCCTGATAAATCCTTAATTGGCTATTTGAGCATGTATTTTTATGTGAACCTGCGTCGTATGATTGATTCGCGAGCAGGGTGATTGTTTATTTTATGTTGACCGCGTCGCATGGATAGTTCGCGAGCCGGGTAATAGATGCATCTATGGTTCGAGCCGTTTGACCCTCAGCAGTGCACAGTTTACATTTCTGTTGGAGCGGGCCGTCGACCTCGACATGATTTGCGCATGATATATTGTCGCTTGAGAACTTTTAACTTTACCCTTCGTGGATTGATTTAAATTGATAAGATAATGAAAAGTAAACCTTGAAAATCCCATATTATTTGTTGAAGGTGTTTTGCCTGTTTTCCGGGTTTGTGAGTTAGAACTGCTGTATAAAATCCCTGATTTCCTCACACTTTTAGTATATTATTATTAGACCACTAGTAAGTGTCGAAGTTGACCATCTCGTCTCTACTTCTTCGAGATTAGGCGGGATACTCGTTGAGTACACGTTGTTTACGTACTCATACTACACTTCTATGCATTTTTGTTGCACAGGTATATGTAACCCTAGTGGCCTACTGGGAGTAGCAGTGCGGATGATTCCGGGACTAGGTGAGTTGCATTATTCGAGGCGACCCACAGCTAGTATAGTCTCTTTCATTATATTGTATTTATTTCTTGTCCACTGTATTTTGGACGGATGTTGTATTTTATTTCCTTATCTTTAGATGCTCATGCACTTGTGACACCGGGTTCTGGGAGGATTTTTGGATTATTCAGTATTAAGTCTTTTATCGACTTTATGTTCATCTTTTGTAAAATTTTTATTATCTAATATTTAACGTATAAGAAAAATGATTCCGGAAATACAAAAACTGGAATTTAATTATGCATTCTTGGTTGGCTTGCCTGACAGCGGTGTCCGGCGCCACCACGACCCTTAGTGGATTTTGGGTCGTGACAACATGGTATCAGAGCACTAGGTTCCTAGGGTCTCACGAGTCATGAGAAAGTCTAGTAGAGTCTTGCGGATCGGTACAGAGACGTCTGTACTTATCCTCGGGAGGCTGCAGGACTGTTAGAAGTATTTCCCTTCTTGATTCCTTATCGTGCGACTTGATCCTTGGGGGCGTATGCCTTTAAATCATTCCTACTCAATCTTACTCGACGTGAACCGCTTGTTATAAATCGAAAATTAAAGAACCGTAATGGTACTACAAATGTGATACGGGATGTTTTTCCCGGTATAGCTGATCAGATTATTATCGTCGCTTTATGGAAGAATATTTTATTGTTTCAGCCTAGTAGCGGTACTTCTGAGGTCTCTGAGGCTAGGCACAAGTTGCCATGATGCTTATGAACTATTGTTCCGCAGTATTGATATGATGATAAGACATTTGCCTACTAGTCGGGGCGGTGAATGACCTGAAGGGAGGTTGACTCGGTGCATAATCTAGAGGTTCAGTATTTTTATTCCCGGCAGGGGAAAGGCAATCGGACTAAGAATGGTCAGATGTGGGCTGGTGGAGTAATGAGACTTGGTATTTGCGAGCATGGTGGAGCTTTCTTCTATGATGGGGTGTCGTCTTCCTAATTGAACGTACTAAGTTCGCCGGTGTTATGACCTTCTACAATTCGCCTTTGGGGCAAGCTATTGTGAAACAGTATTGAAAATGTGGCTGTCAGATATCGCAGGGTGCGGTAGTTCAGGGTTGAATCAGTGTTTCTAATGTCGACGGTATGAGAAAGATGATCTTCCGAAAGGTGTAATGTTAGCAGCAATTGTGGGTTCAAGTGCCACGAAGATAGATTTTATTTAAGGTAGCAACTGAGCAGCAAAGGATGAGGAAAGATATGTGGGAAGTGTCAGGCGGTGGCTAAAATTTCTAGAAGGCCGAGTATAAAAGGCCAAGGGTCGAGTAGTCGATTAAGGGGATGAGTTCCGCCAAAGTGGGAGAGTGGCGGATTTGAATATGGGCTTTGCAGTGGGATGACCACGTACCTTAAGGAGAGTTTGGATTGATTTGAGAATATTAGTGATTGGTGATTGGGGTCTACGGATTTAATTTGAAGTATGGGCTATTATGCAGCAGGAGATTTGATATAACGGGAAGGAGCTGCTTGAATGAAGAAGGATACAACATAACTTTGAATTGGAATAATGTTGCCACACATTTAATTAATGTCCACGAGGGGTGAATGGACTTGTGCAGCTGGAGAGTGAGCTCGGACTCAGGATGGGTTATTGATGTCGTAGTGATTGTACCTCGTACAACAGCGTTGGAAGATGTCGGTGAGTGATTTCTACAGGTGGGTTATTCCTGTGAGTAGGTTCGCGGCCGCGTGGTTGGCGAGGCTTCTGCGAAAAATTCTAGTGGTTATACAGCGAAGATGTCGGTCGTGAAAATGTGGTTGATGATTCAGAGTATAAAAAGGGGGTTTTACAGTAAGATTCCGAGAATTTTGGCGGTTGATTGCGCAAGGTTACGTAAATAAGAGATAAAGAGTCCTGGTGAATGCCAGAGTTGTGTAATAATGGCTTCAAGCTAAGTGGGAGAGTCCCACCGCCTATGATTGGGTTGCATGGTTAACTACTTGCGAGGTTTCTGGTTATTACCATATTGATAAGTTATTCCAGCTACGAGAAAGGA